ACAACCAAAGAAAAAAACAATTAATTCACAGAAGAAAACAGAAAACAGAGCATAAAGAGCACTTTTAATAACAGAAGAAAACAGAGCATAACAAGAAAACAGAGCATAACAGAAGAAAAAGAAGTCGTTTAGGGAAAAAAATGAGCGCTTAAAAAGTGAAAAAAATTGAAAGAAGAACAGAAGAGAAGAAGAATAACAGAAGAAGACAGAAAACAGAGCATGAAGAAGATAGAAAACAAAGCACGAAGAAGAAGAACAGAAGAACTGAAGAAGAAGAAGAACAAACTTACCGAGATCTGGAGATGAAGTCGTCGCTGGAGTTTGCTGGGCTGGAGAAGAAGACCTTCGTATGTTTTGGTAACAGATGCATGTTTATTTGCCCAAATTTTTAAAAAAAGCCCTAGCTGATGCCTTCTGCTCGCTTAAGCGAGCTTTTTCTCGCTTTTTCTAACTTGTCGCTTCTCGCTTAAGCGAGAAAAGCGCTTGCTTTTCTAATGTGTGTCGCCTTTTTACCAGAAAAGCGCTACCACTGCACCTCGCCTCGCTTCATCGCTTAAAGCGAGAAGCGAACGCTTTTAATAACACTGGTCTTGATTTGGAGATTGAGCAGATGGATGTGAATACTGCTTTTCTTCACGGTGACTTAGAAGAGGAGATTTATATGGAACAACTTGAGGGCTTCAAGACAAAAGGTAAAGAAAATCTTGTATGCAAACTTAAGAAGAGTCTATATGGATTAAAGCAAGCTCCCAGACAGTGGTACAAGAAGTTTGAGTCTGTTATGGGGGAGCAAGGCTACAAGAAGACTTCTTCATATCACTGTGTGTTTGTACACAGATTTTCTGATGATGATTTTATCATCCTCTTGCTATATGTGGATGATATGTTGATTGTGGGCAGGAATGCTTCTATGATTGATGAGTTGAAGAAACAATTGAATAAATCTTTTGCAATGAAAGACTTGGGTCATGCTAAGAAGATTTTGGGCATGAGAATTTACTCGTTCGAGAAATGAAAGAAAGCTTTACTTGTCACAGGATAAGTACATAGAACGTGTACTGGAGCGCTTCAATATGAAAAGTGCTAAGTTGGTTCGCACACCCCTTCGTGGTCATATGAAGTTGAGCAAGAAGATGTGTCCTACAACAACAGAGGAAAAAGAGAGAATGACCAAGATACCTTATTCCTCTGCCGTCGGAAGTTTGATTTATGCAATGGTATACACTCGACCAGATATTGCTCATGCATTCGGTGTTAGCAGATTTCTCGAAAATCCAGGAAAAGAGCATTGGGAAGCTGTAAAGTGGATACTCAGGTATCTAAGAGGAAGCTCACATGAATACTTATGTTTTGGAGGATCAAATCCAATTTTGAAGGGCTATACAGATTCTGATATGGCAGGTGACCTTGATAACAGAAAATCCACTACTGGATATTTGTTTACTTTTTCAGGGGGAGCTATATCATGGCAGTCAAAGTTGCAGAAGTGTGTTGCACCCTCTACAACTGAAGCAGAGTATATTGCTGCTACTGAAGCTGGCAAGGAGATGGTTTGGTTGAAACGGCTACTTCAAGAGCTTGGATTGCATCAAAAGGGGTATGTCATCTATTGTGACAGTCAAAGTGCAATAGACCTGAGCAAAAACACCATGTATCATGCAAGGACGAAGCGTATCAATGTGAGATATCACTGGATTCGAGAAAGAATAGATGATGGATCTATACAAGTCAAGAAGATCCATACAAGTGAGAATCCTTCGGATATGCTGACCAAAGTGGTACTAAGAGACAAGTTCGAATTGTGCAAAGAACTTGTCGGCATGCACTCAAGCTAAAGGTCCGGTGTTACCTCCTTCAGTCTGGAGGGGGAGATTGTGGGGTCCATCCCGAACTACGAAAAGTCCAAGTTGCCAAGATGGACTTGGACTTGGATTTGGCTGCCAAATTGTTTGGCGAAAGGAAGAATTTGCCAACCAATCCTCCATTCTGATTGGTTGAAGAGGTAAGTCATTTCTCCTATAAAAGGAGAGCTTTGACTTCTTCATTTTACGCACCACACAGAAAGAGAAGCAACACAATAGTTGAAGAGAGTATTTCTCAGGCATGGTGAGAAATAGATTGTGTAGAGGAAGATAGAGAGGGGGCGATATTGTAGTGAGGCGGGAATATCAAAAGAGGGTTATTTCTTTTGAGTGTTGTAGCGGTCTTTGGAGTATTTTATTCAGACATACAAAGTGTAAAATTCCTCACTATAGTAGTGATACCAGTTGCTCCTCTCGGACCCGTGGTTTTTCCCTTATTCAAAAGGGTTTTCCATGTAAAATCTTGGTGTCATTATTGCTGCATTTTTAATTTTGCTGATTTAACTATAACTTAGTGTTTCACGTTTATCACTTATTGTGAATATTATTTTTATGGGTCTATTTTATTCCCAACAAATACAATGTTTATTTCTTATGATGTTATCTTATGTAGGGCTGTGCATTTGGATCGGATATCCGAAATCCGATCCGATCCACTCTATTTCGGATTTTCGGATTTCAAATTTTGGNGATTTTCGGATTTCAAATTTCGGATTTTCGGATTGGATACGGATTGTGTTTTATGAAATTTCGGATTTTCGGATTGGATTCGGATTGGTATGATTTTAATCCGATCCGATCCGATCCGATATCCGAAATTATATGTACCTATATAAATACACACTAAAATTTTAGGGTTATGCTTATTCATTTTTCACACGCCCCCTCATTCACTTAGATTTTTCCGCCTCTCTTGCACCTCTCTTCTCTTTAGTGAAGACTAAAAGAGTCTCAATGACTCAAACTTCCGATTTTACTTTGATTTTATGTCTCTTTCTTCCGCCTCTCTTCTCTTCTCTTTTGTCTTTTATGTCTATTTCATGTTCTATTCTTCCAACTTTTGATTTTATTTTGATTTTTTTGTTTGTTTTGGTAGATGGAAGATGAGATAGAGACACCGAATGAACTTTAAATTGTTGAAAAATTTTGTGACAATCTGATCCGACAATCCGAAAAATTATCCGATCCAAAGTTTAAAATCCGATCCAATCCAATGTTAATTCGGATCGGATTCGGATTGACCTTTTCAGAATCCGAAATCCGAATCCGAAATAGGCTAAATCCGATCCAATCCGATCCGTGCACAGCCCTAATCTTATGCATCTGTGAGGATTTGTTCTTTAATCTCTCATGTTAAATTACAGCAGGTTCTTTACTTCCTTTAGTTAGTGTTTTTTTTTAGTTTTAAAAAATTAGTTCTACTCAAGATGATGGTCTTTTGAGTTTTGATGATGTTGTACAATATTTTGATCAGTAATTAGACTTATTATTTATTAAGTCACATCCCTTTTGATTAACAAGAACATCTTATGAAATTGATGTGAATTTGGTTCTGCAGATTGCAAACTTCCTCGCAAACAATATGAATCAGAATTGGCCTCGTGATCTGTATGAAAAGGTTGCTCGTAGTTTGTGAAGTTGAAGAATCACAGTCAGTCTGTGCTGTAGTTTAGCTTTAGATGTTCAACATTGTACAAAGATGGTTGAACAGGCCAAGTCTATCGAAATGGTGATAGCCGTACATCCAAGATGTATTTGCTTAGTCTTTACATCTTCTAGGTGAAATTTGGTAAATGGATCTCGAGAGATTTGCTTGGATCGATATGTTATGTCCACAATGGCAATCTGGCAAGACAGTCAGGGTGTGTTCTCTCCTTTTGATGTCATATGCAAGTTTTGCCAGTGCTTTGGTTGCAAATTTTTCTAGTACTTCATTATAAGTGTAACAGGTTCTATGTGATGAATTGTGTTGTTACATCCAAATAGACCCCCGGCATCCTTCCCTCCAAGAACTTCCCACCTTGGTGTTGGGGAGACTCGAACTCACAACCTCTTGGTTGGAAGTGGAGGTTGCTTACCATCAGAGCAACCCCTCTTGTCTGTAAGTGTTCTGTGCAATGACAAAGACACTATAACGCCGGTCAGTTTAACACGACGCTATATTTGAGGATTGAAAGTTCTATAGATTAATCATTTCTTGATAAGCACATCTTGATCATAGCAATCACTTTACTTTGAAGGAAGATCAGTGGCTAAAGTTTAAAAGTAAAATAAGTTAAAAAAGATAAGTTTGCCTCATCAGCACATCCTTGTTCGGTAAGATGGCTTTCAATACACAAAAAAAGGCTTTAGCACATAGTTTACCCTCGAGCTTGTAACCAAAATTTTGTTACATACCCTTTTTTATGGGGGATTTTTCTGTAGACAAATGTTTTCCCGACTGATTAAGCATAGAAGTCTTGTGGAA